ATATATATATATATATATAAATAAATAAATATAAAAATATAAATATAAATATAAATATAAATATATAAAAGTGAAAGACTCCCTCATGCATCATCACAAAATCTCCAGAACTGTAAAGCCTACAAACTTGAAATTTCGCACATATGTTCCTCTTGGCTTCTTAGGTGCTTGCTAAGAAAGGATTTTTCGAAATAACCATCAAAGCATTAGAATTTCCTATATTATTATTATTAACACGATCTGATGCTAAGGAGTTCTACTCACTCTCCCCACCTGAAAAGAAATCTGTTCCAAAGGCAAAACGCAAGCAGAAGAGAGGAGTTTCAGTTTCAGTCTTAGTTTCACAGCAGCAAGCAGCTTTAATGCAGAACAGTTGAGCTAAGCCATGCCCAGGTTCCTTGTTGTCTCCTTCTTGCTCACACAGCAAATACTGTTTCAGTTTCCAAACAGCCCTCAACTCTCTCACACACTGACAAGACGCTAGCCAGATGAATACCGATGGATGCTGGTAGGCAGAGGCAGAATTTTTCCCCCTTGTTTCCTCCCCCAAAACTATGCCTGACTACAATAGTTTTGTAGCGAAGCACGGGTATTGAACTAGTTAAGTATAGTTTTCTACTTACTTTCCTACTAGGTTTTCAGGCAATGGGTATGTTATCCTTTTCCATCCTTTGGTTGGGAAGAAGACAGAAGGCTGGGAAACAGCCCCAGAGCACTTGGGGTCGGCAGGCAAACACTGAGGGATGAGGTACCTCCAACTCACGCCAAAATCGGTGGAATATTGTACATGGACTTGGTTCTGAGCAATTTTTTCTGAGGTTTTACATCCAACAGAAATCTGAGGGGTGCAAAAAACACGAATGTGTTTGGTTTAAAAAAAATCAGTAAAGATAATTCAGATCTTAATGCATAAAAAGAAGGTTGCTTCAACAGAAGAGAATATTTGTAGGTCAAGGTTGAAATGCGGGGTCGTTGGTGAATTAGTTAACACTGCTAGCTTATGTCACCCAATATCTTTCCATGTGGTACTCCAGCATTTAGCTCATCATTGCAATAGGCATTACAATAGGTTGTGGGGTGAGGGGGGCAAGATAGCCATATTCCAGCATATGAGATGCTGCCACAAAGAGGAGGGGTTCAATTTATTTTCGAAAGCACCAGGAGGCAAGACAAGAAACAACGGATGGAAATTAATCAATGAGAGAAGCAACCTGGAATTAAGGAGAAAATTCCCAACAGTGAGGACAATTAACCATTGGAACAGCTTGGCCTTCAGAAGTTCTGGGTGCTCCATCACTGAAGGTTTTTAAGAAGAGACTGGACAGTCAGTTGTCCAGAATGGTATAGGGTAGTGGTGGATAACCTTTTGGGCTCCTGTGCCAAAAATTGTGTGTGTGCTTGCATGTTTGAGCTCGCGTGCCAGCACACAGAAGGCAATGCGTGGCCCCCTGCCCCTACGCATGCACATGCAATACACACCCACCCCTCTGGCCACCCCCTTACCTGCACTGCGCCTCACAGCTGATTTTCTGAGGGTTTGAGGCCCTTTTCAGCCTCTCAGAGGCTTTAGGAAGGCTTCTGCAGGCTTTTCAGGCTGAAAACTAGCTGTGTTTCATCACTTCCGGTATTTCCCGAACAAGAGGAAGCGATGAAACGGGCCTAGTTTTCATCCTGAAAAGCCTGCAGAAGCCTGCAGAAGCCTCCCTGAAGCCTCTGGGAGGCCGAAAAAGGCCTCAAACCCACCAAAAATCAGCTGTGAGGTGTGTACATGCACAGTGAGGAAAGTTTGCCTGCAGCTCGCGTGCCAGCACAAATGGCTCTGTGTGACACCTGTGGCATACCTGCCATAGGTTCACCATCATGGGTATAGGGTTTCCTGGGACTGGCCTAGAAGACCTCCAAGGTCCCTTCCAGCTCTATTCTGATTTATTGATATACTGACAACTCTAATGTAGATATCCAAGTACCGGCCAGGAGTTTGTTGTTTAGACAGACAGACTTCCTTTTGGAAAGCTATTTATGAATTCAGAGGTCCATAAAAATCTCCATTCTTTAAAACTAGAGTTTACCTTGAACTGCATGATCCAATGCTCCATAGGAGTTAGGTCATGGGTGATGGCGTAGGCCTCTCGGCCATCATGGCTACCACACATCAGGACCCCATCAGGGGAATCACAGAATTTTTCAATGGAACAATCATCATGGAACATCCAGAGCTCATTCACTGAGGAGAAAAAAAAAATATTCCGATCAGTATTTCAAAAATATTCCAGTTGGTGTTTAAAAGCCCAATCGGTATTTTAAAATTAACACGTTTTAAAATTAGATGGGTTAATTAGGCGGTCTTAATTACCAAAAACCAGTATCTAGATTACTAATATTATGGGATTGTAACATGATAATGAATTGTCTTTTAAAAACACAAAAGTTTAGCTAGATTCTTACGTTTTAGAGGAAACCAAGTTTTGTGATAATACTATTTTCCCCCCATGCCTGCTTTGAGGGCTATCAACTCTTTCTATATTTATATACCTGTCTTTTAAATTGCTACCTGCTTAGAAAAAAAAGCAAACTAGATGCTTTTTAAAATCATTTCGGGATAATTTCTGTGGTTGATTTCTTCCTCTTATACAAATATCCAGTAAAACTGTCATCCCCATTTTAAAGTAAAGGGTTGAATTTAAGTGGTAATAAATTCAATCCTTCATTTATCATCTGTAAAATTTACCGGGTTTTTTGGTCATTTTTGTTTCCTTGTATTATTTTTACCTTTTTCTACTTTGATCTCTTATTGCTTTCTCTCTTTCTTTTTTAAATCTATTTCACTCTTGGACCATTTGTTTTTGTTTAGTTTTCCTTTTTATTTGTAAACGCATTTAATAACATATATTATGAAGGGAAGATTGAAGAGAAGGAGCAGGGGAGACAGGATAGCACTCTTCCAATATTTGAGGGGCTGCCACAGAGTGGAGGAGATCAAACTATTTTCTAAAGCACCGGAAGGCCAGGCAAGGAATAATGGAAACCGAACAAGGAGAGATTCAACCCGGAAATAAGGAGAAATTTTCTGACAGTGAGAACAATCAACCTGTGGAACAAAAGTTTGTTAGAGTTTGCAGCATAAATTCACATCCAGAAAGCACACAGACTGATTCAGCAGGATCATTAACTTCTTTATAAACATAATAATATGATTAAAGTTTACAATACCATTTGTAGATTCTTTTAATGTAACATAAGCAAAAACATAAGCAGCAGCAGCAGCTCACAGCAGATATTGGTTTCAGCAAGCAAGCAAGTTAGTTTCTCTTTCACTTTAGAGCTCAGCACAGAACAGAGATTCTCTCTTTAAGTTTCAGCCCCCAAGTCATCTCTCATAGGCTAACCTTGTTACTAAGCTCTATTCTAGTCCATGAATATACTCTGACAAAGTTGCCTTTGGACTTTGTGGGAGCTTCATCACTGAAGACTTTCAAGAAGAGATTGGACCAGAAGTGGTCTTCAGCAGGTTCTGACCAGTTCTGGAGAACCGGTAGCGGAAATGTTGAGTAGTTTGGAGAACCGGCAAATCCCACCTCTGACTGGCCCCGCCCCCATCTATTCTCTGCCTCCCATTGAGTCCCAGCTGATCGTCTGGGTCTTCTTTGGTTGCCCTGCACAGGAGAACGGAGCTGGAAAGCAGGTTAGTGGAGTGGGGAGGGAATGGAGATTTTACAGTATCCTTCCCTTACCATGCCCACCAAGCCACGCCCACAGAACTGGTAGTAAAAAGTTTTCAATCCCACCACTGGATTGGACTGCCATTTGTCAGAAATGGTGTAGGGTCTTCTGCTTGGATTAGATGGTCTACAAGATCCCATCCAACTATGTTAATCTGTAATATTCTTATTTAATAAAAAAAACCACGGACACTTCCACTGATTTGCAACTATAGGAATGCTTACCTGTCGTTCTGTCATCTAAAAACATATCAAAAGCGATTCTGCCGGTGGGTCCCGCATCAGCTGGAGAGCGTTCGTGCTGAGGCAATGGCGCACTGCTAAAAGTATCCAGCATCACCGTCCTCTGATCTGCTGAGCCAGAGATCAATACGTTGTCGATAGCCCAATCGCTTTGGTCGAGACCCTCGTGTTTAGGCTGCCACCAGCGAAAACGAGTTCCTACTCGCTTGGCGTCCGAAGGAAGCAGAATGTTCACAAAGCTAAATGGAGAAACATCGCACACCAATTAACTAAATATTTTTTAAAGCACATAGAGATAGTCCTGCGCTTACAACAGTTCATATTGTGACTGTTTGAGGTTACAAAAGCACTGAAAAAAGTTACCCCTTTTTCACACTTATAATTGTTGCGGCATCCTTCTGAGGTCAGTAAAACTAGGACCCAGATTGTTGGGAGCAATAGGCTCCTCCCGGGCCTCTGGGAGGGCGAAAATAGCCTCCCGCGGACCTGGAGGCCCACTGGAAGCTGGAAACAGGACTGTTTCTGGACTTCTGGAAGGCCCGTTTTCCCCCCTCCCAGCCTCCATGTAGACCCTGCACTTATCTGCATCATGTGGAGATTCCTGGGAGGGGCAGGGTGAGATGGGCAGGGCCAGCCAGTCAGCTGAAATACCGGTTCGGTGAACCAGATGTAACTTTAACAGCCAGTGCGACTGAACTGGTCCAAACCGGTAGAATCCCACCCCTGCCAGATCCGGCCCAAGGGCTTTGAGTTTGACACCCCTGCTCTACATGAACACAGTTATTGTGCTGACTCCAAGGATATGGAAGATCTTTTTAAACTACAAAACAGCTATAAGAATGTTAATCTTAAATTAAGCCTCGGTAAGGGAGCAAGGATCCATCTGGGGGAAAAAACCACTGAGTTTTAAAGTGCTAGACTTTCCAATCTTAAGTAATATCTACTCTTAGTTCAGTCTATTCATACGGACAGGATGAGGTTTTATGAGTTATCTCAACAGGCAACAGGGGCCTAGCTATTACCCAGGTTTGCTGAACTGGTCGTAAAAGATTTCCATCAAGAGCGTCCACGTAATGCCACCATTCACAGAGTATTCCAGGAGAACTCCTTGATTACGATTGTTGGGGCTGATCAGACATCCGTACATGAAATAAAACTGAATGAATTCTGCCTTGGTTAGGTTGAGATCCACTGTCACAAGCAAACGGCTGCATCCCTTAGAAAAGGAGGAAAAATAATTGAGAGAACTAAGGAAAAAGAAGAAGAAGCAATTTAGTATTGTTAATTGATAGAAGAAAAGGACCAAGGTTGTTTTTTTCTCTCTCTCCAAAGAAGGCAAAAGCAAGATTAAGAGGTTTACTAAAGGGCAATGCAAAAATAGGCAGGTGTGGGCTTCAAAAAATTTAGCAACCAGTTCTCTGCCCGGTTGCTGGGTGGGTGTGACCATGGTGGGTGTGACCTAGTCAGCCTCCTGCACCACCCTGACTGGGAGCGAAAACCAGCCACTGGGGGGGGGGGGCATTTTCGCCATCCCCGGGCTCTGGAGGGTTTCCTTGAGCCTCCGGGAGGGCGAAAACGACCATTCCAGGCTCTGGAAGCTTGGAAACGGGCCCATTTTCTGGCCTGGCCTTCAAGAACTTCTGGAAGGTCCATTTTTTGCCCTCCCTGAGCCTTTGCATGGGCCCTGCACTTACCTGCGATCCAAAATGGGCCATGTGGGGAGATGGGGGGGAGGGGGCAGCCAGAGGTGGGATTTGCCAGTTTGCTAAACTGGCCATAAAATTAACAACTGATTCACCTGAATCGGTAAGAACCGGTAGCAACCCACTCCTGAAAATAGGTTCTTTGGAGCAGCTGAGAGCAGCACAAACATTTCACCTTTCTGCAACCCTTTAAAGCAGCCACATATTTCTCTAAGTTATTTGGCATTCCATTCAATGCTGGAAACTGCCAAGAGTTGTCTTGTTGTGAGATTGGCAACAAATAAAATCCATTTATTCATTTAATCAAACAATCAATAAAGGTTTCCAGCAGAATGTATTGTTGTAGCAACATAATTTGGTTTCTCAAAAGTTGTTTCCCCAATCATTATTGGTTTATTAATTTATTTGTATCCCGATTTTTATTATTTTTATCAAGAACTCAAGTTGGTGAACATGTCCCAACACAACTTCCTCCTCCTATTTTCCTCATAACAACAACCCTGGAAGGTGGGTTGGGATAGGAAGTACTGGCCCAAGGCCACCCAGCCAGCTTTCTTGGCTAAGGCAGGACTAGAACTCTCATTCTCCTGGTGATTGGCCCAAAGTCATCCAGCTGGCTTTCTTGGCTAAGGCAGGACTA